TGGCGCCAAAGCACTATATTTGAACATATCGGGATTCAATAAATACGACACGTATTGTACAATATAGTATGGAATTCAGATAGCCACATCGTTAATTATCATACCAATCGACTAAAAGGTCGATGGCATAATTATCTGGTAGCACAATGACAATGAAGTGAGGACGCCACAGTGCAATAGGACTCTATGCACTGACAATTATGCAATGATGATGTCGCAATTTTATTAATCATAAAACTAGGAATTTTAAGCATGCAAAAGCCAACATCACTTCATCATCGTACAATTATTTCTTCGCTTTTGTATATCAAGGTGCTTTAATTAGTGCCAGCACATCATTGTCATAACAATGTCCCACCATCGCATCGTTGTCATCTACCTATTGCACCAGCATTTCATCTTTATCCCACCATCTCCTTACAATAAAAGCATATTTGTGTCATTGCACTATGTATAATTACTAACTTATCTCTTTGGTGAATGAACTTGCATGGATGATGCTTATTCAGGCATGCTTTGGATGCTAGATCTGGCCTAAATATTTTCCAGATTATGGACCAGATTTGGTGCAAAATGTCCATAGGTTTATGATACCAGAGGAATTCAACTGAATTTTTAAGCCTTTACATGGTAATAATGAAGAGTATTCAAGCTCAAAGGTCCATTCAAATGATACAAATAAAGAGCTAGCGAATACAGGCCTTTAAAACATCAGGGATTAGGTGCCATGGAGGAGTGAGTATCCCTGCTGATCGCTCATACCCGTGTTCTCCCCACAAATAAAATACCATGGACCTGTTGTTCTTAAATCGCTCTTTCAAATGACATCAAGGTCAATGACCTTGTGACCTATATGCTAAAAATAGCTTTTTTGAACGTTCCCACTAACATTTCAACCACAGTAGATAGAGAATTCATATTTGGTAATTGGTATGCATACTCCACTAATTAAGTTCTTTCAAATGACACCAAGTTCGAACTTTGTTGCCGCCGGAGAGTGTTTCACAAACACATCCTGCTCTATTTATTACTGTTGCAAAGTTTCAAGTCCCAACAATTTTTTTTCCTCTTCCTTTCTTATAAATAGAACCCAGCAGAGCTACAGTCTCGACAGAGACATCTGGTTACTGAAAGTGTTTATCATTAAATCATGTACTTAAGAAGTTTTATTTAATATCACAAACATGTATATTTTAAACAAATACATGTATTCACCATCAATTTATATCTTATCAAGTATGTTTAAAAATATTTTGCCAAAAACTAAATGAAAAGAAAAAATAATGAAGTGATACTACTATCAAACACAACAATACATTTATTTCTTCATGAAAGAATTGTTCTTATACATGGCTGTTAATTCACAATAAGATACATCACAGCACTGAAATATTATTCCTTGAAGCAATGAAATATTTCTTAAACTAATGAAATATCATTTCCTGTTTGACCACAAGGGAGTCCTGCAAGGTGCATCTCTTTATATATAAGTAAATAAATTAACTGTTCACTTTCTTCGACCTCCTCCACCATTGGCCAGAATAATGGCAATTCTGATGAAAATATTAATTGTGTCCATGTAAATTCCAAGACATCTGAAAAAGAATCACCAAAACTGTTTTTCCTTTTTTTTTTTCTCTCATAAAAGCTAAAAACTCAAATATGACTAATAAGAGAGAAAAAAGAATAATTATTTCACCTTATGTTAATATAGAAAAGGGAATTACATGTATATATAAACATAAAATATGAAGTCAAGAAACGTAACCATTTCTTAGATTAAACAAAATTATTGAAAAATTCAAAACTCAAGCACTGTGGTGCATTGTAGGAATTTCATTCAAAAAAAATTGCAAACCCTGAAGTTCAAAGATTGAGAACAGTTTATTCTAAAGGACCTCACCCTCAGATTGTGTGTATCTTGTTTGTAGTCTCAATATGGATTTACTTAATTTGCCTACAATGTTTGTTGTTACAGTGTTGACTTACGCATTGATGGGGTCAAACTTCTGTGTACTGTACACAGGGTGGCTCTCTGCCCTCTTGATAACCTTCTGTGTGTCGTACAACAGGAACATACTGAAGAGAACCAGCCCTCCGTACAAACTCATGGAATACAGTCCAGCTCCCAGGGCTGTGGTGGGAGGGAGAAACATGCTTCCTGATACAGAAAAATTAATCATTAGTTTCATCATAAAGAAGTAAGTTACCACTGATGAAAGAAGGATATATATATAATATGTAAAAAAAGTATATATTCATCTAAAATATAACACTATAAATAGTATCATGGATATGAAACCTTCATAAAGTATGGAACGCCATCACTGCCTTATAGCATACAACTATGCATTTATTATGTCAATTTATCATCACGTGATGTGAACATATCTTTACGTTACGTCCATTTTATATGAGATGATGTAAATATATATTAACAACATGTAAATGCTGCATTACATGAAGTAAATACATCCTTTCATTATGTCAGCACTTCATAACTTGAAGTAAAAAATTCATTATGTAAAGTGATAATGTGTTTACATTGTGTTAAAAACTTTATTACATGAAATGAAAGTTTCTTTACAACATTTCATTTCTTTAATATGTGAGGTCAAAATTGCATTACGTCAAGTAAATTGTGTTTTATAATTAAACTTATCATTACATGAAGTCAAAAGCCCATTCCTTTTTGAGAGTGTATATTTCTATTATATCAAAGCATTATTACGTGATATGGATTTATCTTTATTTTACGGCAAGGGCATCATGATGTGAGGTGAACACATCTTACCTTTATGTCAGTGCTTTATTACGTGATGTAAAAAGTGTATGACATAATGTGAACATATCTTTATATTATATCAATACTTTATTACATTATGTCAAAACTCCATTCCGTGATGTGGATATATAAATACGTTATGTCAACTCTTTCTTATGTGATTTAAAAATATCTTTATTCTGTGTTAACTCTTTATCATGTTGATTCCAAAAGTTCATTACCTGATGTTGAAATACATTTACATTATCTCAAAGCTGTATATCTAGTATATAATGAATGTTGACGACCGTGTGTTAATGACTGGTAAGAAGGGGGGTCCTGATTGATTAGGACAAATTACAGGCACATAATATCAACCCCCCTCTTTTCCCAGACATAACTTTACTATAGAAAATGTAATGTTCATTGAAACTGTACAGCCCCCCCACCCCCACTTCTTGTTGAAGTATAGATAGTCCACTAAGGGTAATGTAATATATCTGGGAAAAAATGGGACTGATCGAAGTTGGACCCCTCTCCCCGAAATAGGATTTTCGGGCTTGGACTTTTTTTTTCTTGGCTTGTCAAGTTTTTTCGGGTAAATGATTTTTTTTCTGGATGACCTCCTCTTTCAAAAAAGATGCTACGTCACTGGAGTTAGTAATTTTTTTAATCATTCCAGGGCCAGAATTCTATTACAAAAATCTACCAGTCGCTCATCTAAATCAATTGAATATGCCTTAGTAAGCATGCATGGGCACATATCAGTGGCAGATATGGGAATCTTGAACAAGGAAGGGTTGCGGTATATGGTTGGAGACCAAGGGCGGAAAGCGGAGAAGCTCTCAGGCTTTACAGTTTTATAGAAAAAAGTTTTCAACTTAATTCAGCTAAACTTAATGTGAAACTAATGCAATGTCCTACAAAGTTTAAGACTTTTATATAAAAAAAAAAAAAAACAATTCAAAATAAAAAGAAAAAAATGATTGAAGCACGATTCATAATATTTGATTTATTTAATTATCAGATTAAGTAAACACCATTGAATTTCGACGTGACTTTAATTCACAGTCGCAGTGTTAAGGCTTTGCATGTTTCAAGATTGTCAATCATTTGTCGCTTAAAGTTTTCATTTAAAGATGTCATTCCAAAATCGCTGAGAATCTCTTCTACAACAGTTTTCTCTCCCGCTATTTTTAGTGCTTGCGGAACGCGGAAAATACGTTATGCTCATATAAAGGCCGAGGATACCCGTGTTCGCAAAACGTAATAGTGAATCGACATAATGTAGAAGAGTGCGCACAGTATGGCATGAGCTTTTCACATCAGTTAATAAAAACTAAGATTGTCATGAAAAGTAAACATAACGAAATGCAAGTTGACGAAATAAAATTGTAGTCTGTGTAAATGTCATAAAGAGTTGACATAATGTAAAGGAAAGATAACACGATGCAATAGTAGTGTGGCTTAATGTCATAAAGAGTTGACATAATGTAATGGAAGGTTGACACAATGCAATAGTAGTGTGGGTTAATGTCATAAAGAGTTGATATAATGTAATGGAAGGTTGACACAATGCAATAGTTGTGTTCCGCATTCCTTAATAAAGTTTACACACATTTACAGTCTATAACACTCACCTACTGATGAAGCAAAGACAACACCCAGGCCAATAGCAAGAGGACCTCCCATGTTGAGGAATTTCTCACTGGGTGCACACATAGCAAGGGCTGAGAGACCTATTCAATGAAGAAAAATCCATCTTGATTATATGTTATATAATTTATTTAGACAATTCCTCTCTTGGTATTATACATGTATGAATACTGTACTGGAAAAATTCTTACAGTGTAACATTTCACTTCTAGAAAAGAAAGCATAAAATTACAATTATTGCTGAGGTTAATACACTGATTAAGCCATCTGAGGCATACAATATTCATTGAGTCTGAAGACAAAATTTGATTAATAAAGCTAAGTGAAGTATTCTGCTCTTCATGAAGTACCAGGGTAAGCTAAAAATGTTTATAATGTTAAGGTGGATATTGGATATGATAAGATCATTTACTTTATAATCAACAAATCTTTGATTTTTTACTTCTTCTCACTCACCTCCCACCACCCCTGCAGTGTACCAAGCAGCTCTGACCATCAAGGGGCCACCTAACATCGTGATGGGGGCCACAACTCCTCCGATTACAGCACTGTGTAACATCCAAGCTAGATGTTTAGCTCCGAAACCCTCCTTGTACGGGATTGACTGTGTCATTATGCTGGTTCCAATCATAGCAGCTATGCTCCCAAAAATGGCCTGTGATATAAAAAATTTACTAAAATTAGGAACTCTGTAGCTAGATAAAATATAAAAAAATGCATTGTAATTCATAATATAGTTTTGGCACTGGGGAAAAGAAAGTATCTAATTCATTAGCCAAGATATGCTAATTTTTAGATCTGAAAAGCATCTGACATGAGATATTATAACCTTCTTTGTATTTGTCATTGATAAATGTTAAAGGAGATAATAAAAACAGTCATATAAATTTAAATCCTTAGTGAGGTGATTCTTACCACCCATGAATTTTTCATTGCAATATTCATGAGAGCAGGAGTTCTTGCGATGGTAACAGCAGAAAGAGCTGTTAGCCCTACACTGGCCCCAAAATAAAAGTAGGTGGAACGAATCCTCTGCTTAATTTCTTCTGACCAGAATCTATTTAAAACAATATAAAAAAAATATCTTAAACTGTGGACTGTTCCAGAGTCAATTTTCTCCCACAGAGTTGTTGTATTTACTTACATTCTCTGATCCAATGCTGACATTTCCTTTGAAGCCAATCCATAGTAACAAAGTGATCCCAACCCTACAACAGCCGCCCCTGCAACTGCTCCTTTACCAATGCTGAAAGCTGAAACAAGACACAACTTATATACATGTAATATGTACACTGTGTACAGGGTTATTTTCACTCAAAACTTTTTTTTTGCCTGTTCACATTTACAAAGAATTTTCCCCTGTTTTGAATACACCCATTCAGAGTTACATCTGTCCACATTTCTAGGGCAAAAGAAGGAAAATAAAACAGGGGCAAAAAAATTTCCTTTAAAGTATACAGTATGAAATATATTAAATGTACACTGTATTTCAAATTCTGCAATTAATACCTGTTTCACCTGCTGGGGCAGCCAGTGTCTCCTTGATTCCTCGTCTCTGGGCTCGTTTTACACCTGACCTGGAATCCGAGGCCAGTTGCTGGACTCTGGTCCTCATACATAACTGTGGTTTGGTCAGAAGCCTGCCAATGCCGGGGACGAGGCTGGTTATAGGAATCCGGCACAGTCTTGTAGCAAGCATTTTACTGCAGTTGGTGATATATCAACGTAGGGAACCAATATTAAGAACTGAAACAGAAGAGTACTGAATTTTCCATAAACCCAACTAAGGATTTCAATTGATTTTTTTCTCTTAGACTCTTTTGTTAATCTGCAGCTTTCAGTTCATTCTAGCCTAATACAATAAAAAAAAAATACTTGGTGAATGTACTTTTTCTGAATGTGTTTCAAACTATTTTTGCAACAGAGTTTTTGTGCAACATATTTTCCCTTTATTATTTCCCATGGCCATCATAAAACTTTGAGCTACCAGATTTAAGCATGTATGGCTGAAATACTTGGGCAAAAATCTTAAAATATTAAAATACTAAAACTATGAATAAGAGGAAATGAAAGTCCTGGAAGCTTAAGCTTTTGTTAATATATACTTCCATAACTTGTTATATAATTGCTTGAGGAATTCGTTAAATTTATAGCTGGGGATCCAAGATAACTTCGCTATATCCGTGAATTTGCAATATCAGTGTTTGTCCTAAACAAGTTTTACTGTATATACCCCCTTCATGCCCTTTTTATAATAACAAAGGCATGACAGAGGGGATACATGTATATACGCATCATTTTGATCAATCATATTTATAAGAACTTAATATTGAACATGTTGAATGATAGAAATTCAGAGGCCTGTATTTAAACAACAGCAGAAGTTTTATTCATAACAAGTCCTTTCAGGTGTTAAGGATATAAATTTTCATAGTTTTTAGAAATATTTCCTTCTCATTAGCATTGTTAATGTTTTGTGCCAATGTTATGCCTCTTTTCAAAGTTTTTCTAGAATTTTCTCCTTTGTACAGCAAGCTAGCGTAACATTGAACGCATAAAGCAAAAGCAGAAATTAAGACTTAGCAAATACAGACACCAAACCTTATTTGTTTTTTCCATATCTGACACTCTTATGAATGAAAATATTAAACTATAGGTCTGATTTAAAGCATTGATAAATATTATTGCTGTCAGTGTCAGATGGGTATGATAAAAGAACCACTAGACTCATTGCTGTGAAAGAAAAGTCAGAAAGAATAATGATGTGAACAAAAGTAGTATAGTTAAGTAAACTAGAGAGACAAACTAACTTACTTATTTTACCGTGGCTTACGCAACAAAACGATCCTCTTCTGCGTTCAATTTTTGTAACAACATGAAAACGAAACGAAAACCACGATAAATTAAGAAACTGAGAACGTCAACTGACATATTTCCGGATTATTATTATGTAAACTATGTTTTCTTAATTAAGAAAAGAAAGAAGGAAGGTAAGATCGAAATGAGAAAAAGAGAAAATGAAGGTAAAATCATATTAGTAAATAATATATTACAAAATACTTTGCTAAAAAAAATGCGGAAGTTTAACCGTTTTCGGTTCCGTGAAATATCACGGCCCAGTTTGAAAGACCGCGGGAGAACCATGTGCCATGAGTGGCAAGTGATGTGATGTGCTGCTTGCTGCTTTAGATATTATGCGTTTTGTGAGAAAGGTTGTTGAGGCATAATAAGGATGTTAATGGTAATCTAACAACCAAGCTTTATGATAAAAGCGATGACTTTAAATAACATTTCAAACGTCAAATCTCCGTAGTCCGTACTACGTTCATCACCTGCATACGGGGTTTATTTCTCTCAGTTGATTCAATACGCAAGAGCATGGCGCTCAACGTATGAGCAATGTCTGAAACGAGGTAAATTATTGACAAACAAGTCGATGAAACAAGAATATCAGCAGTCATGTTTAATGTAATAATTTCTTAAATTATAAATAATATGGTTGATACAATGGCCCAGTCAGCACATTCAATTTATCATTGAGTAAAATGCAGACTGATGTTTTCTCATACGAATTGTTTTAAAGCCATTATTCACGCACCAAATAGTCAACAGCATTTCCCGTTATTTCCAGACCTAATCATGACAAGGAGCACACAACAGATGTAACTGTCGGCAGGGGATGCTCGCTCCTCCATGGAACCTGATCCCACCTCTGATGTTTTGGAGGTCTGTTTGCTCTGCTCCAATTTTGTATTGTTTAATGGACTTTTGAGCTTGAATACTGTTTGATATCTCCATATATTTCATTGTTAAAGAGTGACTTCCAATAATGTATAATTTCCTAAAGCATTAAATTTTCATTTTTCAGCATTTCAATTTCATGAGAATTGACAATGAAAAAATTTCCATAGCAGTCCATTTGTTGTGTCGGTATACCAACAAATCTGGGAAAAAAGGTAGTACACTTGTCAAAATTATTAAATCAGTGTCAGGCATCAGGTCTGATAAAATCAAATGTTCAGTTGAACCAGTCAAAGCTTTGGCAGACCAGATACATGTCAAGCCTGTAGGAAGCAATTTCAGTTTGGGGGAGGGGGCACAGCCAAACAGCATTTCAGTTTCATCAACTAAAAAAAAGTCATCAGACGTTTTCATTGAGGGGGCACAACCATATAGTACTAAGCTAAGTTTTCTGTAGTATTCTTAGACTATATATTGGCAAAATTATTGGGGGGGGGGGCATGCATTAACCTTATTTGACACTAGGAAAGGAATATGAATAACAGCATCGAAATGCCCTTTATTATTTACAACAGCCTTAAATCTTATGAGTTTCCTTTCTTGGGATAGAGAGTTTTTAATAAGAGACATAAATGACATGATTCATGACTTTGCTATGACAATTAAATTGACCATCGTCAACACACCTTCTTTTCTGTGTTTATGACCTTCAGCTGCGCATCTTATCATTCCAGACAAATTTTTACCGGCCTTGACAATGAAACCATTGGATTTCAACAAGTCTGAGGTAGCTGGCTCTAACATTAACTGCATCACATAAGCAGAAGGTAAATTTTGAGATATTTTTTGGATTAGATAATATACCTATGAGAGAAAAATGTTGCAAATAAAAAGTACAAAAGACAAATATTCAAGGCCAAATTAGAATACCATCCATGCATATAGTTTTTCACGCACCACTGCAGTGGCACTGGCACCTGACTTATTTATTTTTCTTATATATAAAAAATAACTGCACACCTAATAATAGACAAGGAAAACATTGGCGCCATCTTGATTTTTTCTAGGACGGTCACATCAACATGTATTTTTGTCTGAAATTGCGTAAAATAAATTCGCTGCAACCATATCCATTCTGCTGTCAGTTTTGGAGGTCCCAACTAACGGACAGTGCAACCATAAGGTAGCATCACCATTATCACATGTGCAAATAGTGAAAAATCTTTGTCAAACTCGATCTACTGCTTCAACAATCTGAGAAATCGCTAAAGGGGCTGGGGCGGAAGTTTACATTCAACTTGATATCCTAGGGAAAGCCCTTTTTTTGACTGGCTGATATATTTGTAAGATTTATTTTGAAAATACTGGTATACTGTAAATCACTTTTTATTCGGGAGAACTTTATTTTCGCGTACTTACGTGAGACAGTGTGCTCGCGAAAATTTAATTCTCGCGTATAATAGTATTCCTTAGGATTTAATAGAACAATTACCACATTTCGTGAAAATTTTGTCTCGCTTATCAAGAGTTGATGACCATCTCGCCAAAATAAGGTGTCGCCAAAATTTAGTGATCTACAGTACTTGAAAGTTTTTTTAAGTGATATATGACCCTTGTAAAAACTCTGGTCCCCATGGTATCCTTGGTCACCCCCACCCTATGACAGAGGTCATGATCTGAATTTCGAACATAAAGATGCATGCTTGCATATTAATAAGATTGATAATCATTACCCTGCTGTTCTTTAAATGAAGATTTTAACAGATATATATAGCATTACATTATGTGATTAAATTAACTAGTCAAGGAAGAATTCAGGTATTCTAGTTCAAGGTAAAGTCATGTGTTGGTGTATTGCAATGCATACACAAGGAAATTTATACAAGTGTTTGTTTTAGATAAATAGGAATGTAATTGCGAATAAATGCTATAGACTAAAGGGTTAAGATTGAAACCAGCTAGAAGGAAGAAATGACTTGGTATCTATAAATGTGTATCATTTCCAGATTTTTTTTTCATAAGAAATATATAGCAGTGATTCTAAATGTGTAAAGAAAGAGGTAAGGGGGATAATTATTTATTTTTACTCAATTTAATGCATAATCTCTCAATTACACTCATAAAATGTTAGTGTTGTAACGATAGATGCCAACTATTGAAAAATCATCGCTGAAGGCAGCACACTGGCAACTGTCAAAATCAATAGAAAATTTTAATATTGATATTGGCAAATTAAAAAAAATATTTTTAATACACAAATTGATGTATCTTCTTACATGATTAGAAGGACATTCCTATATTTCTTTTTCAAATGGCGGACCAATTTCTTCAATTTAAATTGAAGTTAGTGTCACAGATTTGTATTAAAATTCTAATTTCTTCCTTGGTTTGTTGCCGTCTGTCACATCAAAAAATGATGTCACAATTATCACTTTTTAGCTCTTCTGAGCCAAAGGCTCAAAGAGCTAATGCTATGGCCATTTGTGCTGTGTTCGTAAACTTTTTAGAATATGGGCCATAACTCAAGAACCCCTTGGCCAATCAGTACCAAATTTGTCACAGGGTATCCTTGGCCCAAGGGCTACCATTTATACTAAAATAAGGGTTGGGACCCTTAAACAAGGGGAGATAATCAGGAAAACAAAACCAAAAGTACTGGTTGCTAAAAAATCTTCTTCTCCATAACCACCAGGCAGATTTTCACCAAACTTACATACAAGGATCAGGATATGTCGAAGATTAAAATTTGCTCGGGGAATTACCCTGGGGCAAAGGACGTGGTCTCAAGGTCACTTCAAAGTTGACCTAAATTAGAATTAATAAAAACATTTATATTTTGCTTACTATAAAGACTAGGATCATCAAATCTTGTGAGTTGATGCATCTTATGACTTCACATCATGTTAACTCAAAAGTAGGTCACGGTGACCTACTTTTTAAATTTTGTGGGTATTTGTTTTCAAATTGATTTGGAGGCATATTTTGGACACTTTAAGGCCTATGATCATCAAACTTTGTCAGTTCATGCATCTTGGGTCCTCGAACAATGTCAACTTAAAAGTAGGTCACCGTGACCTACTTTTTGAACTTTATGACTTATCCTTTTAAAAAACATTAAATCCCATTATTTCAGACACTGGGAGGTTTAGAACCATCAATTCTTGTACTTCGATGCATCTTGGGACCTTAAAACATATTTATGAAAAAGTAGGTCACTGTGACCTACTTTTTTGAATTTTGCTGACATTTGTTTTCAAATTGTTTAAAACACATATTTTGACTACCTTCAGACCTACGATCATCAAACTTGGTCAGTAGATGCATCTTGGGTCTTTGAAAAATGTCGACCAAAATGTAGGTCACAATGACCTACTTTGGACATTTTATGGCTATATTTAAGTATCTTAGGTATTTATTGGCTTAGAATCATCTAACTTTGTGAGTGGGTGCATATTTGGTTTTTCGGAGAATGACGACCAAAAAGTAGGTCACGGTGACCTACTTTTGACATTTTATGGCTTTATTTAATATCTCCGGTACTTATTGGCTTAGAATCATCAAACTTTGTGAGTTGATGCATCTTGGGTTTTCGGAGAGTGATGACCAAAAAGTAGGTCATGGTGACCTACTTTTGACATTTTGTGGCTATAATTAAGTATCTCTGGTACTTATTGACCTAAAATCAATAAAAATGTCGACCAAAAAGTAGGTCACTGTTACCTACCGTATTTCGGGGAATACAATACGCACTTTTTTCCTAAAATAAATAACTGTGAGAAAGGGATGCGTATTTTACATCACAATGGGATTTTGACAAGTTTTTCTTTCAGGTGAAACACGGCTATCATACGTACATACCGTAGTATTACCTAGAGACATATGCAATTTCTTTTGTTTAGTGCCATATTTTAAACTTCGGAAAGTTACCTTGTTTAAATAATTGAGAGTTGACAAATGAAATATAAATTATGCTAAAACTTTTAATAAAAGTGGTATCATTTAGAAAATAAGATATCCGCGAAGATTTAGAAGAGGAAAATCGTAGTCTTCTTAAAGAAATAAATACTTTCATGTTTCAATTTCGTTTCCTGTTAAAATATTGTCAGATCATTTTCAGCATGATTATCTAGAACCAAAATTAAATATGACAACTGATAAAACTTTCGACAATATCT